CTCTAGACTGTATCACTCAGGCATTGGTTCCATCAAACTTACTCGATCAATTCATCTCTCTAGACTGTATCACTCAGGCATTGGTTCCATCAAACTTACTCAAATCAAATCAATCAATTTTACTTAATCGATCAATTTGATTTTGACTAAGAAAATTGCAAGACTATTCATCTCCTTTTCGCACTTCAATGTACCTTCACAACCTTAAGCCTAAGGGTTTTTTAGTGCAGTAAACCCTATCTGTTAAACATCGCTCATCTTCCAAAAACTACCTCTTGAAGACGTCGACTATACAGCCGATTGATCGACCAACCCTCCAAAGCATTCAATGGTATATTTACCTATCTGCCTGATCGACCAATCGGGGAAGAGATGATGTAAAGGTTCAATCCCGTTATATCAAGAGGATTGGATTGATTGATCGTTCAGTAGATTGACCGGTCTCTCACTTTCTCTTCAATCCTCCTTCCTTCACCTACTCTGAAGAAGCATTCGCATGCTCTTCTTTCTGAAAACGTCGACTGTATAATTGTTTGATCGACCAATCAATTGGTTAATCGATTCAAAAAAAAAAAAAAAAGTGGTGGAGAAAAGGAAAGGAGAAGAGAAAGGGAGGGGGATATATAAAGGCTCAATCCCGCTACGCTGACCAGTCGATTGACTGGAACCTCGCTCTCTCCTCAATACCCCCTACTTATTTGTTGTGACCTTTCACCACGATGCACTAGTCGTATATTTTTTTGTCTGCTTGGACTCTCTATTCGACCAATCAACCGATTAACCGAGAAAAAAAAAAAAAAAAAAAAATGAGAAAAAGAAAGGAGAAAAGGAAGAGGAGGGGGAGATATAAAAGCTCAATCCCGCTATGGTCAATCACTACGTTTGGATTGCTCAGTCGACCAAGCAAATTACAATATCCAGGATTAACATTTTTGCAATGTCTAACTACCAGTACCGCACAACGTGAATCAATCAATTGGTTGATCGACTAATCAATCGGCCAATTAGCCAATTGATTGAATAAACTTATCGCACGACCATCTGATCTACTCGATCAACCAATTACTGATTAGCAATCATATGATATTTAGGTTATCGACCGATCAAGAAATCAACCGATTCACTGACTACCTAAACACTCAACACCCTATAGGTTAGGACAACCCGCAATCATCAATTGACTGTTTTTTCTTTCAGAATTTATTCATAGGTCTCAAGCCTTCGATCGATCAACTGCTTCTTTGAAGGGTCTTCGAATAGATCCGTCTAACGATCACGACACTAACTAATCATTTACTAAAACAATTATAGGATTGGATGATTCGTTGTCAAACACAAATAAAAAAGGGGAGATGACCGTAACAGGGGAGGCAACAGAAGGAACGATGGAAACATAAAATGAGCATTAAATTAACTACCTTTCCATGCCCGCTATCCTAATAATCATATGACATTTCAATAATACATCCTGCACATCCAATCTGATCTGAATACCGAAATCGGATGACCTTCATCTCACTACTTTGATAACCACATGATCATAGGCAAAAGACTCTACATCCATCTCATTACCTCTACTATGGTTCTTGGACATAACACATTTTAACACCTATAATAATTCACCAGTACCTACCTAGAGGAACGACAGTCGTCCAACTTATTGAGGTATTTGATCGAAACAAGGATCCAGAACTTTCGGCCCACCAAACAATAAAGGAGGGGGGCACTACAGGTCAACCAACTGGTAGATCGATCATTCGCTTTTCAACTAAACAACCAATATATTAATCATTACATAAGTCGATCAAACAACCAATTGATCGATCAGTCAATCAATCGATCATTGGTTGATCTCTTCAATTAATTGATCGATCGATCGTTTTGATTGATACGTCTCTCCACCCACCGGAAGTCTGCTTGTGATATTGACTATTCGATTAACTACAGCATACAAAAAAAAAAAAAAAAAAAAAAAAAAAAAAAAAAAAAAAAAACCCTATGTACGCTCTATTTCATCAAAGTCCATTATCGTCGAAAGAATGCCTTCCTCTCTCTCATTTCGTCATCTTTGTTTTTTAGTAATTGTTGGAATTGATTCCTTGCAAATCATAATTACCTATGTTTCTCTTACCCCCAGAACTACTCCACCTCAAATAAATCGGCTTCGGGCATATGCTCTCTCTATCTACCCTATTTCTCTTAAAAAAAAAAAAAAAAAGAGAAAAAGAGGAAGAAAAATAAAGGAGGGGAGAAAAACAAGCAAAGGAGGGAAAAAGGGATGTTAAAACTTCTTTCGTGTTGTTTGCCCTTTTTGCAGATCACAATAGATGTCATTCTGGACCAAGCCATAAACACTATAGCCCTCTTACCCCTCGCTGTCCTCTTTAAACTTGCAACTCTCTTAGTGAACTCTCTTCCCCGACACCTTTCCTCATCATGATCATCATCTTTCCTCGAATCCTCAACCTTTTTCCTCGTTAAAGGAAAAAAAAAAAAAAAAAGGGAAAGAAAAAGAGGGAGGAAAGAAAGGAAGAAAAAGGGAAGAAACAAGGAAAAGAGAAAAAAAAGGAAGGTAGGTGAAGGACAAGAAGGAAGGGGGGACAACGATGAAACAAGAGGATCGAAGGAAACCCAAGAACAGAGAAAAACGGATAAGGAAATAAAGAGAAAGGGAAGCAAAGCAGAAGATTGGAAGAAGACATGAAATAAAGAAGTCAAATGAAGGAGGAAGATCGGAAAGAAGGGGCAAAGAAAGAAAAAATAAGGAAAAAAA